GCATTATAAATAAAATGTATTATTATTATTACTGCTTGTTTCTCCTATAGTGAAACATGAGCCCCTTTACCTTGATGATGTCAGTGCTGTGAAATGTTCTGGCAGGTGACTTTCTATGCACTATGTAGGAAGTATCAAAGGAGTTACTTGATGTTAACTAAGCTCTAAATAGTTTAAATGTTTAAATGGTGTTTTGAATCATTTCAGTCTGTGTTACTTGCTCGGCATGCAGTGGTTTTTGTGGCATCTGTCTGTGTCTGCTGTGTTGTGTAACACTTTGTGTCCCAAGCCACACCCTTCCACACCTCGTGACAAATAGTAGTTACAGCTGAACTGGGCTCACATATATAACAGAGCGGCAGCAGCTATGGAGTAAATTATCTTCAGGACAGAACAAGTATCAGACTCTCCAGAAACATGTTATGGACAATATTCTTACTACTCAATGGATTGCTTATACTAGTTCTACTTTACTCCACTCGCACAAGGTAAAGCCATTCATTGATATGTTGATATTTGTTTGTATGTATATGTTCTATAACCCTCTTTCTAACATTATCATAGTTTTACTTTCTTTATGTGTGTAAATGAATGTTCTTCGGGTAATTCTGTTTGCAGGCTTGCTTTCCTTGAACTGCCCCATGAGGGACAAATAAAATATTTTGAATATTAATGAACTGAATCTGCAGATATCCAATTATTAACAATGGTGCATTATATAGATTGTAACAGATTGAGTCTGAAGGTCTGAAATACTGCAAAAGCATATTTATATAATGTAATATAGAAAAGCTTTACTATTGTTATTTTACTTAAAAGTTAAGTCAATTTGATATTAATTTATTTTAATATTATATCAGAATATCTCTTCATTCAAATATTGATATTATCTGACTAATAGACTGAACAATGCTGACTGTTAAATGCTGATTCTCCACATTTAGTTTTGATAAAGATAAAGAAGTATAAAGCACATTTTTATGGCTTATACTGTGACTTATGCTTTTCAACCACACAATAGGAAGCTCTTATGACATGACATTATAACATGACTTAGATATAACTGCAAACCTGTTGGTTGAGATTCATTACATATTTCAAAGTACACACCCCAACTCTTATCACATTGCTGTTTTTTTAATGAGTTTCCTTATACCTGAACAGGAAAAAAAATGAGCCACCTCTGGACAAAGGTTTAATTCCATGGCTGGGTCACGCTCTTGTGTTTGGAAAAGATGCTGCAAAGTTTTTGGCCAAGATGAAAGAAAAACATGGGGATATATTCACGGTATGTTCTGAGAGACTGTGTGTTGTAGAACTTTAATATCCAAATATGAGAATTTTTAGGAAGTGAGGAGCTCTTTTTACTGTTTAAAGATTTGACTGTCAAAAATATGTATGGTAGGTTTGAAATAACAGGGCCAAAGATGTTTTGCATACAGAAACAAGAAAACTGTCAACCGAGAACACCAAAAATGCTTTTAATCAGAATATATGTAAAACGAGTACTGCAGAAACTACCCATTATTTTTCCAATGGAGAACAAAATGTTTCACTGAGTAACCCTTCTAGCAAAAAACTTCACATAGCTGCGGATTTAAAGACAAAAACGTAGACAATTTTCTTTAAAGGAACTCTAATAAGAACTGAAATTGAAAACAACAAATATTGGAATAACTAAAATGATGTCCTCCCAGGTCTGTGTTGCTGGGCATTACGTGACGGTGCTGTTGGACGCAAACTCTTTCGATGCCGTGCTGAATGACACAGTCTGCTTGGACCTCACTCGCAGCAGAAACCAGCTCCTAAAAAGGATCTTCAGTCTGCAGCTGCCGAGCATGAAACCTGCAGCAGAGAGGAAATGGATGGAAACGTAATGAATGCATGTTTTAAATACAGACTTCACGGTTCACTAAATGAATGAGAGAAAATGTTTTAAATGAATGTTGCAAATCTAAATATGAATTTATAATTTCCTCAGGCATTTTCAAGGCCTCCATCTTTTCAAACTCAGCAGTTCCATGAACACTCATCTACAGAACCTGCTGCTGAGTGACCAGAAAGGATGCAGCCCTTCAGAGTGGAGACAGGATGGACTCTTTAGCCTTTGTTACAGCCTGCTCTTCAGGTATCACACAGCTTTTTAACCTTGCAAAATACTGTAAATTAAATAGTGTGAGTGTTTATACTACAAGGTGCGGCAGTATATTTGAATATTTTTAACTTTACTTCTGTGTTCAGGGCTGGTTATCTTACATTGTTTGAGAGGAAAGACAACACTTCTACAGTCTACAAAGAGTTCCGCCAGTTTGACAGTCTTCTCACCAAATTAGCTCGCTGCTCACTCAAACGAGGTAAGCTGCACAAAAGTGAAACAAAATACAATCAGTACTCTAAATTTCCTGTCTGACTTCATGTCTACACGGTGCAGAATCATATGTATCAATTTATGTCGGATCTCTTAACAGGGGAAAGCAAAATAGCCAACTTATCCCGGGAGCGACTGTGGGAACTGCTGTCGCCAGACTGGGAGAGCAAAGAGTCAGAGTCAAACTCCTGGCAGCAGAGCTACCGTCATTTCCTGCAAGAGGAGGGAGTGGATGCAGAAATGCAGAAAAGAGCTTTACTCTTGCAGCTGTGGACTACACAGGTGAGGTTTATTGTCTGCCTCTCTCTCTCTAACACACACACACACACACACACACACACACATGAACCAGACCACACACTAATACCAAAACATACAAACTTTCCACACCCTGACTGCATACTAGAATTCCTAGCCAAGGTATTCAGCGTGCCAACAATGCAGAAGTAAGAGGTAATGGATTCCTCTCTGCCAGCTAGTCATAGATACCTGTCTGAACCTGTAGAGCAGAGTTTTGCCAGTTTTTATCAGGTGAATCAGTTTCTGTGACATTGAGGTTTACTAATTACAGGTTAAAACATCACGTAAAGGAATTGTGTTAGTCAGCTGAAGTTACTTCCTCTTTTCCTCACAGTTTTAGGCACTCAATTGTTCTGTCAGGTTTACTGCTGACTGCAGTGCACTGGAGTTGTTGTCTAACCTGTAGGCATAGGATGTTTAAATACAGTATATAAAACACTCTTGGGATAGTTTGCCTTTACTTTGGATTAATCCCTAACTCTTAACTGCACCCATCAATAAATCTTCATGTCAAATGTTATTCTTTTCTCTGGTTTCAAATAGCTACAGTGTACAAAGTGCTCAAAGTGCACAATATTGACACATGAGTGAATACAGAATTGTTGCTTCCTCGGCTCCACCAGTCCAGAAAAAGTTCAAATTAACATGGTGTCATTGCTTTGTGCTGCCAGGTGGGGGAGATAGCAGGCTGTTTGATTGTCTTCACTGTCTGCTCTCATATGCTACATTTTACCAGTGATAGCTCCAGCCCTCTGATAATCTGCCAGTCTCACTGGAACAGCAATTGTTCACCCAGCAACACCAGTGTACAGTATTTAAGCAAGGAGAAACCCTTTTGCCAGGCCACCAACTGTGGGCTCTCTCAGAAGCTCTTCTGGTTTGGGAAATACCGAGTATGTTTGTTTGTGCTTTATCATGTCTGCTGGGATATTGAAGCACACAGTCTCAGTCTGAAAGGGGGAAACTGGAGCAACACTGCAGAGAATAGAGGGATTAGATGTGAGAGTAGTGAGACGTGCTACAGTGAATATGGCTTATACATGTGTTACAGGCAGACTGAGATATTTCAGAGCGCGATGTGAGGATTTCACTAAAGCCACCTACCACTTCATCATGGATCCTCCTGCACATGTTGGTGGTTGCTGTTCTCTTTCCTTTTGAAGTTATTTACTGAAACATATATCAACTTAAATGGATGGTGATTTAATGTGTTGTGGTGTCTGTACACCCACATTGGTTATTTTAATGTTAATATTAAAAGTCACTGTATGGAAGATCAATCAAGTTATACCCTAAAGAAGTAGTATGACATTAAGTTGCAAGGGTTCAGCTGAGAAGATTTAAATCTTTCTCAAGTATTATACACTAAATATTTAACTGGAGCCAGCAGCAGGGTAACTTAGCTTAGCATAATGACTGTAAACAGGGGGAAACAGCTAACCTGGCACTGTCCAAAAATGCCTACAATATATCTCATTTGTTTAATCCACATAAACTGAGGTGTAAAAACTACACTACAGTAACCACATGTATCACACAGACATGCAAGTGATATCAATCTTCTCATATAACTCTTGAAGCATATTTTAAGAAATGCCAATGTATTAGTCTAAAATTTCATAACCGGCTGCTGTTAAAGTAACCAGACACATCATTATCTGAAGCATCAGACCTGGTGATCTAAAAATCTAAGAAGGCAAAAAAAAAAAAAAAAACACATTGTGATGCACCCTTAGTTGCTTTGGGGCATTTGACCTGGTTGTCAATGGAGAGTTGACCTGAGATGTGCAGAGGTAAGAAGAATAGCTCCCTTAACCCACAGCAATTACTGTCTGACAGGCTCAGGTGCCTCTTCCCGAGAGGCTGACAGCAGTCTCTACAAAGTGTGGACTGATTCACTGTCTTCTCCTCATATCAGTCATATTCAGACAGCATTACAGAGAGCTGACAGAGAATATTAGTTGAAATATTACCAAAAGTAAAGTCAGACGTATTTCTATGATATAGACATTTATTGTACACATATACAAAACACACACTGAATTTTATTCATTTTTTCCTACTAGTTTATATAAAAGCTTGAGTCTGTGCTTAGTTGCGTGTTGCTTCTTTCAGTGTAATGCTGGACCTGCTGCCTTTTGGCTCCTTGGCTTCCTGCTCACTCACCCTGAGGCCATGGAGGCTGTTAAATCAGAGATCAGACGCCTTACTCTCCAGGACACTTCCCTACAGCATCCCCCCATCAACCCACTAGAAGCACACAGCACACCTGTGCTTGGTACGTAACAGCTGCTAGCAGCCTTATTCACTTGAGCTCTTCCAACTTGGGGTTTAGCCACTCCAGTGAGATGGAAACAAAGGCTCATTTGACTTGTTGGAAATAACAAGATAAGTGCAGCATACTGAAGCAATGACAGTGACAATAATAGTTTGACCTTTGATTCAACTAAATAATGATTGCCTTTTTATATAATCACATCTGTGCAAATATTTGTACCTCTCCAAATTACGCTCGAGGGTGCCACTGATTTAACTCACGCTGACACCCGTCTGACATCATCCACTCTGCTGTCCTTTTCATTCTGCAGATAGCGTTCTGAGTGAGACCCTACGGCTCACCGCTGCTGTAATGATCAGCAGAGAGGTGGTGCAGGAAAAGATCCTGCACATGGCCAGCGGACGAGAGTACCACCTCCGACGGGGGGACAAAGTGTGTCTTTTCCCTTTTCTCAGCCCTCAAATGGACCCACAGATACACCAAGAACCACAGGTACTTTTGTGTGCAGGCCCAGAGTGTACTAACACAGCAACATGAAAATACAACAGTTCTTGTGATAAGCATTGGAAATGGAGCCTCCATCATCATTGTACATACACTTGTGTACCTTCATTGTGATATTTTTAAGCCATATTAGGGTGCACAGGATTAACCAGTGTGTTTTGAATCACTGATGTGAAATGCATCCTTTGGGATAAGCTGCTAAATGCCTACAAATTACACAACTAGTTGACTAGCAAGAGAGCGAGATCAATTCCCAATGTTTACACTGTTTGTTTGTCTTCAGTGGTTAGAGGTGATATTTGCATATTATTTTTTAACAGAAAATATGTATTAGGAGACACATGATCGTATAATTATAAGCATCAAACTCATTCTTTCATATTTTTTTTTCTTGTCTCTTCTGAACAGATTTTCAAGTATGATCGCTTCTTAAATGAAGATATGACAGTGAAGGATAAATTCTACAAGGATGGGAAAAGGCTGAAGTATCACACCATGCCCTGGGGTGCAGGGAGAAACATGTGTGTTGGGAGAGAGTTTGCGGTTAAAGCCATTAAACAGTGAGTGTAGAAATCCTTTTTTTTGTTTTGATTTATATCTTTCCATGATGTACACTCACGATCAAAGCATTTCCTGCAATTTCATCCTGATTGCCAGAGCAAACCAGCAAAATCCATCTCCACATAATATTCCGCCTGTTATCGTTTCAGTCCTGCTTTCATGTCCTCTATCATCATTAGCAACAAGCTGTAATATAGTAATTGCTTATACTCTGTAATGAACTTTATAAAAGAGGCTAAGGGCAATAGAGGACAGTCAGTTGGGAGAGTCATATCTAGTTACAAAGGTTAAAGGTCAATCCTTGTAATCTTTAACAGCTGGTTACTTAATATTGATGTGTAGAATGGGAATTAATTATATTTTTTTGGCATTTTGCTATTTTTTTAAACCTGCCTTTGCTCTTATTAATATTGTCTAATGAGTGTAATGTTTATCAGTGACTGGTGGGTTGCCTGTTTTAAAATACTCTGCTGCTTCTGTCTGTAGATTTGTGTTCTTGCTCTTGACCCATCTCGATCTGGAGATGTGCGACCCGGAGGCAAAGCTACCACCAGTTAATCCTTGTCGCTACAGCTTTGGGATGCTCCAGCCGGATGGAGATCTGCAGGTCCGATACAGACTGAAGAGGACACAGCATGAAATCTAACTTGATAACTTGATTAACTGTAAAAAGAAATTTTGTTTGATAAACCTTTTAATCGTATGTACTTTTGCACTATTTATTCTATGTTATATTTACTCAGTGTGTCTATATATCATATTTAAATTTGTTTGTTATTAATTTTTTTAATAAAAAAGGAAAAACAAAGTAAACCTGACACATTTCTCATTTTTTAAATACGTTTGTAACTACAAATTGCCTTTGGGTCCACCTAGTTGAAAATTCGTAGGCTAAAGTCCCCCCTCCACTCAAAAAATATGATTTACTTATAGTTTCTCCACTTGATGTTTGACCTGCAGAATGATGTATGTGCAGAGTTTGACATGAGCTGCTTGAAGAGAGGATGTTTGGAGGATTTTGTCTCATCACAGCTAGTTTGGAAGCGTCAACGTCCAGTTTGCAACTCACAGAAATGTACAAATACAGTGCGAATGGACCTAAAGAGAGAGTTAAGTGAGAGGCATCTTGTATCTCCCATCAATAGTTAAACAATGAAGATATATATTCATAGATTATGTATCTTTCAGTGAGGTAAAGAGGGATTTATTTTGTTTGTTTTTAATGTTGACTCTTAAAACATGTCTGGAAGGGATCATTAACAAAATGTGGGATCAAAAATGTTGAGTTGCTTCTTATGTGTAAATGGAGTTCATTCACCAATAAGTGCATTTACTCAAGTACTGCACTTAAGTATCGTACAATTTTGAGGTCCTTGTACTTTACTTGACTTTTCCCACTGTGTGCTACTTTCTGCTCCTCTACATTTAGATGGAAAATTTCACATAAATAAAACATAGGCGTAGAAAAAACAAAGCACTGTTAAAGATGAAACCAGAGGTTCCCCCTTTTGGCTTGTAACTGCTTACAGAAAAGCCGAATGCGAATACTCACTCTACCACTCCTTATATGTATATGGAGATAAGTGGAGGGCACACCTATACCCTCATCTAATGAAAGCATTACATTGAGTTATGTCCCATATTAGAAGCTTGTTTAAATCCTTTGCTCTGAACATGCACTATCATTGATTTCTTTGGTTGGCTCTGTGCCTTCAAATCACATGACCTGAGATCATACACAGGCCTATATTTATCCATCATTCTATGTGCACTATCATTACATCATGCTTTTTTTTCATCTTTATGAGCTGACAGTAGTACACCCTGGTTTTAACACAACAAGAGAAACAGACTTGGGCACACAAGTCTTATTTTTACTATACATCCAGGCGTCAAGGCGCGGTGCTGAAAGAGTTAAAGAGATGTGGAAAGGAGCTTCTGAGCTGCCATGGATCGCGACCTTCAGAGAGATGCGTGTGCCTACACAGCTGACTGGGAAACACAGGTAGTCTGTCCAAACGGGCTGTCGGCATACTTGTTGATCTCCTGGAGAAACAGCGGTGCGATATGCGGAGCAGGAAGCCGGCGGGGAGGCAGTAGATCGTGCTGAGGAGGATCTCTCTGCCATGTCGGAGGCGGCAGAGGAGGGGGAAATGGATTGGGTTAGACCCTGGCAATAGTAAACCAATAACGGCGCCTCCTTTTTTTCAAAAAAAAAAAAAAAAAATGCTACTGCTTCATCTCCCGTTTGTGCCAGCGGTTGATCGTTCACAGAGCGGTGCGTGCTGGTTTGATTCAGTGCAGGATGACAACAACTCACTACGGTATTTTTTAAAGCTTATTTCCATTTTTGAATCATATGTAACCTATCATTTGTTATAGATTAGCCAATCAGTGGCATGTGTGGGATTACTCTGCATTAAAACTGCACCAATATGGAGCAGGCAGCCTTTGAAAAAAAGAGAAATGCTTAACGATGGAACGTTTGCATTCACAACATTGCAGTTGTAAATGACTGAATATCCCTGAGCTTATTCTCATTCTCATTTTAGCTGCGCAGTGTGTGCACAGGGGGAAATACTGTTTGTTTTAGTGGCGCGTTTAATGCTGAATTATTTTATCGAAGCCTTGAATTGAATGAAACAGGAGGGTGGAGGCTCCTGCAAATTAACATTTCTTATTACTGCCTGCCCGCAGCCTGTTACTGCATGTCCAGAAGCTGACATAACACTGTCTACATCCTCAATACCACATTGTCGTTTCATATTTTGTGTTGTATGTGTAAGGCATGTTGACATATTGCTTAGGCCTAATTGTGTTTGTGAAGTATTAGAAACTTTGTGTGACAGTGATCAATGGTCACATCTGCAGGCCCGAGGTGATGTTGTTGGGCTCCAGACATAAACAAAATGAACAGCGCGTAAAATGTAACAGCTTGTGTCGCCGTCTACAGTCATAAATGGATCCAAAAAAATAAATAAAAAAATGTTGGACTCTCTGTCAGGAGAAGGCGCAGGCTATATATATAATATTATATATATATATTATATATATATTGTCTTCTCAGAGTCAGCCCTGCCTCCCCAAGGGAGCTCGCCGTGATTCAGGGAGTGAACAGCGCTTCCTGGTGTTTCAGCACCATTGGAGTGGACAGCGCTCACTTTGTACCACACTCGCCACTGTGGTGTCTGTCCTGCGTCCCCACCCACAGCTCTGTATGGGCAGCACAGCAACCAAAACAACCCAAATTAGCTACTACAGATACATCACAAGAGAAGTTTTGTAATTAAGATAAAGTATTTTATGAATGGTAATAATATTTAATCAGTCACCACAGGGAAGATAATAAGTCAATGCAAGTCGGTTTTAAAGTTTTGGTGGGAGGTTGTTGTGTTCAACAAGGTGTTTTTCCATCAGATGAAGATGTTATTTTAAAGTTATTAGTAATGGTTCCCAAGTATTTTTTCTTTCTAACCCCAAATCGAAATCTATGATTCTGCAGACTGCTATTAGGTGTGAGTCATCTCAAGAACCCAAATCCTAGGGTATATGTATTGTTGATTAAAAAATTCTAAAGGAATCTAATTAGCTAATGAGATAACAAAGTGATGAGTGAAAATCCAACATTTCTCTGTCCAGGAGCTGTTTATACCAGTGATGTTCCCTTTTTGGTCCTTAGGGCCCTGCAGCTCCATGCTGGGTTTCAATCTGCGTACGTTTTAAAGTAGTTAGAAAATGTTTTTGCGAAATGTCGTGGGAAATCAAATTCAATGAAGTTTCCATCCTGGTTTAGATGATGACAATATCTTGTTAACTCCTGATACTGCATGCATGAGTCATCTCAAAAACCCCCATCTGAGGGTAAGTTTATTGTTGATTCAAAAGGAATTTTAAAGATAGTACTATATTATGTGATAATAGTAATTAATAGTGACATTTCCAAAGATAATTTATAAAGACAATTTACTTGTTTCTTATTTTTATTCAGTGATATTCATACTGGTCTCCCTGCAGTTTCTCACTGGTTTTCATTGGTTTTAAAACTTTTTTTTCATTCCTTTGTTAACTCCTAATAGGTGAGAGTCATCTGAAGAATACAAAAAGAAATTCAAGGAGGACGTGATATCAGTAATCAATATCATGACATAATAATAATAGTAATGATACATTTTATCTGTCCTTTATTTCGCTGCCCTGGAGTCTTTTAAACCAGTGATTTTCAATTCTGAAAAGAAGTCTCATCAAAACTCCCATCTAATTGTACATTTACTGTTGATTAAGAAGAGAATTTAGAGAAGAATTCATAAAAAAGAATTCAAATAAGGTGATTCTGCAGATGTGGTGATAACAGTAAAAGGACTTAAATACCCTGAAACGATAGTATACTTAATCTATCATTTATTTCACTAGCCTTAAGCCCTTTATTTTTATTTTTTATTTTGTAATCTGGTCTTCAGGACCCTGTAGTTCCTTGCCAATATTCTAGCACTCTAATGAGGAACTAGCATAACAAACCAGGTAGAAGCAGGGTTGAAAAACGCTGCTTGAAACCAGAGGTTTCCAATTGTTTTGCCTTGTGACCCCTCATCACAGACATAATCTGGTTGGTTGGACATAAACTGCGAGCAGTTCAACCAAAGAGTGATTTTGCCCTCTTGAATTATTTAATTTTAAAGAAGAGGCCTGAGGAGGCAAAAGCATCCAATGAGTCTGATGATTGATCTGGGGATACTAATGATTTCTTTTGTTTTTCTGAATCCTTTAGATACAATAATGAAAGAAAACAGGAAAAACTGTAGTCCATAGCCCTGGATGTTTGCTTCCTTCCTCGAATCTAAAGTCATCATGGAGAAATCCTTGACGGAGTTAAACAAAGCTGGCTCCCGCTCAACATCATCCCTGCCACCTGAACCGGTGGACATCATTCGCAGCAAGTCATGTTTCCGCAGAGTCAGGCTGAATGTTGGGGGTCTCCCACATGAAGTCTTGTGGCGAACGTTAGATAGGCTACCACGAACACGTCTGGGCAAGTTAAGAGATTGCAACACCCATGAGTCTCTTATGGAAGTGTGCGATGACTACAACCTCGAGGAGAACGAATACTTTTTTGACCGACATCCAGGGGCGTTCACGTCAATTCTGAACTTCTACCGCACGGGTAAGCTGCACATGATGGAAGAAATGTGCGCCCTGTCGTTTAGTCAAGAACTTGACTACTGGGGCATTGATGAGATCTACCTGGAGTCATGTTGCCAGGCGAGGTACCACCAGAAAAAGGAGCAAATGAATGAGGAGCTGAAAAGAGAGGCTGACAATATGAAAGACAGAGAGGGTGAAGAATTTGACAACACTTGCTGTGCTGAAAAACGAAAGAAGCTTTGGGACCTCCTGGAAAAGCCCAGCTCATCTGTTGCAGCAAAGGTAATTGTTATTGGATGTTGGGTGTAAGAGATGAGTTTGTGATTGGTTGTAAATATCTCAGCATCCATGGGCCAAGAGGGTGAAGTTTTCTTTCTTTGATTATCCCCTTACTGAGATGTCTTGACAACTATTGGATGGATAGCCATAAAATTCCACACACATTAATATCCCTCTCAGGATTCATTGTAATCACACTGATCCCCAACATTTACTTGAGTGCCATCCTCAGATCCAAATTTCCATTTGTCCAGTAGTTGTTTGTGAGCATGTTAGCATGCTGACATTAGCATTCAGCTCAAAGCAATTAATGTGTGTTTGGATGT